CCCCTATCCCGACACCCCCCCACCCCCCACAGCATGGGGGCCCCCTTTACCCAAAGCCCCCCAACCCCCAACCGCCACAGTATGTCTACCATACCTGGGCCCCACTTCCCTGCAACTCCAGTGCATCCTGCAGACGGGCCAACATCAAAGTCTATCATTCAGAACCCAACAAGCTGCAGGCTGCACTTCACATCCACAAGGACAAGCACCCACACAGCAGTTGCCCTAGTGCATATCACATTCCATGTGAATGCGGCCATATGTGACCATCGGGAGACCAGCAGGAACCTCCCCATCAGACTCCAAGAACACCGCTTGCATGGCTGACGAGGGGAATATGACAAGTTGGCCATCATCAAACATGCACACTCCACGGACCACTGCATCGAATGGGACAAAATAGAACTCATCAACCCCATCCAGAACTGGCTCCCAAGGAGAATCTGAGAAGCCATCAAGATTTTCCAGCACAACACCATACCTCAAGACAAGCTCAGCGACATCTGGTGCCCACTACTAGTACCAAGCAGACACCCACTTTGGGCAGTAGGGTCCCCAGTACCTGAAACCCATGCTCCCCCACCCCAGGCATTAGCGTTTTCTCTACCTCAAGCCACCCCATCCCCCCTTGGCATAATGGTCCCCTATACCCGAACCCAAGGTTTCCCACTAATTTCAGGATCCAATACCTTCATGCAACAACGCACACGCTGAGTCACAAAACCCGCGAATCCCGTTCCATGCTCCACCCCTTCCCGATTACCTTTATAACCAGCTATCCACTCCAGTCTGGCACACTCTCTTGAGGACAGCTAGAGCACACTGTTCCACACTCCACCCCTTCCCGATTACCATTATAACCAGCTATCCACTCCAGTCTGGCACACTCTCCTGAGGACAGCTAGAGCACACTGGCTGAAACGTCGAGTTAACACTCGCTGGTTCTTTAAGAACCACACCTCGCCTAAAAGAGATTGATTCCATAGTGTACCCTCAACCCATTTCTCATCTAACCAAGTGTAGTTGTGTTGTTTATAAACTTTTGAGTTAACATGAAAGGAGTGTTCAATAAACTCCTTTTAATTTAGGCTCATGTAAAATTTGGGATCACCACCACAAATTTGGCTCCACTCCAATGAAATATTGAGCAATCTCAGTAAATGCACGTACTGTACATGCACACAACACATGGTACATGAAATACACTGTTACACTTGACATTTTGAACAACGGACTACTGTTAAGGTGTATTTTGCCATCAGCGTTCATATGTGTTGACACGAAGACAAGTCCTGAATTTAATCTACCACTTGCTGCAATAAATAAGTTGTGGGAAGTCACACTTGATTTTATGTGGATTTTTTAAGTTTTTACAACTGTCAAAACATAAAGTGCTTGTAATTAGACACCCAATGATGCCATCACAATATCATGGTTCTATTTCCATTCACGGATAACAGTCGAAGTATCTGCCAAGTTTGAAGGGAATTGGGATGTTTAAAGGCCAAAAGTCATGTGTAGAACAAAAAGGCACGTACTATCCTATGGGGGTTTGGAGTTTGGACAAAAAAAGCTATTTCTGCTGAAACAGCTGACAAAAAAATGCCTGTTCAAGGGATGACATTCAAGCTTCTAAGTGTAATGCTACTCTCGGTCAGTGCCTCTGTTTCCAGCATTATTCTCTGAAAGACAGTCTTGAGAGACTCTCCAATCACTCTTAAATCGCACGCAACCCACTACATGCTCCTAAAGATTTTACATCACTGTTTCATTCTTTCTGAAAGGTTAAATTTGGAATTCGCATATGTGGGACAAGTTCCCGGGCGATTTTCAAGATTTTTTGTTTTCAAAATTCTTCAAAAATTCATAACTTCATTTACTAGATGTTTACACCCACACGAATGACGGTCTGGTGGCTATTCTATTCTGACATGCAACCTCCATTGACACCGGAGTATTGCAGCCAGGCCTGCTGCCAAGTAAAGAGAGCCCAGATTGTTAAGTGTCGCATAATTTTTTTTGTTCCCAAAATTGGGCAAGTGTGTTGCTGAATGGCAGTGGTGTCTTTCAAATGCGACCAGATTAGCATGTGGCAGTTACAGCCGGAGTGCTGGAGCACTTTTGTCCACGCTGATAATCCGTGAGCAATGAATGACACAAACAGTGGTATACTGTTTAAAAATGACAGATCTCCTCTGCAAATGCCAACTGAAAAATGATGGCAATTCCCAGCAGCTCGGTCTTTTGTTCTGAATACTGTGTTTTGTTACAAGGCCCAGCTCCTTTGTCCGATTTTGGGGACCCCGGCTATGCGCACAAACTCAAGGTACCTGGCTGATCTGGCTAACAATGTCTGGCACACTGAATTTTTCAAATTCATATGTTGAGTTCTCCAGACAAGGTTCACTAGCAGTAGGGACACTCTAAACCATCTCACTGTAGTT